AGTGGTGTTGTACCCAACGTATTGCCCCTCATGCAATACATATTTCATCGGTGGAGAACTACTTGGCAGACCGCCTAAGCAGGCTCCCCACCCTCAATGACACTGTTTTCCAGAACATCTGCCGCAGGTGGGGTCAGCCTACAATAGACCTGCCCAAGGTGGTGTCGGAATTCCACAATTACAATAGACCTCTTTGCTTCCCATCTCAAGGCCAAGTGCCACAGGTACTGTTCAAGAGCAGGCATAGAGATGGCATCTCTCGGGGACGCGTTCATGATACCGTGGTCCAGGGAACTCACCTCTTTCCTTTGATACCAGTGTTGCTCAAGATAATCAATAATCAGGATAATCCAATACCGAACAGATGCAATTCTCACAACCATGGTTCGCCCACCTGAGAGAGATAACGCAAAACTGTTCCACTTACCTCCCATACCGTCTCTCCTCTCCCAGAGCGACAGGGCAATTCTCCATCCCGATGTCCAATCCCTACATCTGACGGTGTGGAGGATAACCCTGAATTCCGTGCAATCTTAAATCAGGCTAGGAAGCCATCCACTTCTCACCTGTATCGTAATAAATGGAAATTCTTCCTCAAATTCACTGAATCTAAGGGACTTACCCCAGTCCCATCATCTCTCTCGACTCTACTTACTTTTGTCATGTATCTATTTAACCTTGGATTGGCACATTCCACCATTAAGGTCTACGTTTCAGCAATAGTAGCTCACCAACCTCTCGGATCTAGCTCCACTAAACTTTTTTCCCACCCTATGCTCAAGAGATTCCTAAAAGGTTTGAAGAATGTTCGTCCCCATCACAGAAAGTTGTGCCTCAATGGTCACTGCAGCTCGTTCTTGAGGCGCTTACAGAGCCACCATTCGAACCCCTGGCTACCTGTAATGAAAAGTTACTCTCTCTGAAGGTGGCATTCCTTGTGGCAATTACATCCGTCAGGAGAGCTAGTGAGCTAGCTGCTCTCAGATTGGACTCTCCATATCTTCAGATGCACCCTGAGAAGGTCACCTTGTACCTAGATGTGTCCTTCCTGCCCAAGGTGGTGTCGGAATTCCACAAAAACCAACCCATCATACTTCCGTCCCTATTCCCATCGCCATCCACACCGATTGAGCGTAAGCTCCATACTCTGGATGTGAAAAGAGCCATCACCTTCTACCTCCACAGAACCAAAACTTATGACATTCTCCATGTCTCTTCTTGTGCTACCATGGCATTAACAGGGGTGCACCTGCCTCTCCACAAACAATATCAAGATGGATAGTGCAATCGATACAGTTAGCATACCAACTTGCAGGCAAGCCAGTACTGGAACATCTTTTTTTCCCAAACAAGTTTTTAATTATTTTTAAGACAAAGAACAAAGAAAAACATATGAACAAAGAAAAACCAAGAAAGTCAGTTCTTCCCTCCCTCGTGGTGCAGTGATTAAACTGCAGCACTGCAGTGAAGAATCTGCTCACAACCTGAATTAAATTCATTCTGGCCCAGGTGGCCACCTTAAGGTCGACGCAGTCTTTCATCCTTCCAAGATTGGTAAATTGTGTACCCAGTTTGCTTGGGGGTGGTGGTGAGGGGAAGAACAATATGTAGCCTGCATAATTAAACTGTAAAGCACTGAGAGTGCCTTGAGTGCTATGGGATGGCACATAACAAGCACAATGTGCTTTGCTCGTTATTATTTTAACTTGTATACCAGCCTGTATATACTCTCCAGGTGCATATAGCAAATATATAAAAATATACCCTGACTTCCATGTCCCAATAAGGTGGCAGAACAGGAGTTGCTGGCAGAACAATCCTATAAAGTCTCAAACGCAAAAAGCAGAATATTCCTGCCCCCAGTGTCTTCTTTTGCAAAAGTATTCAAGGCACAAGGATATGTAGGTCTAAGGAAAAGCCTTTTACACCGTAAAACGAAACACAAAGTATAAATACACAATACCACCACAAGAAATTTGTCACGGTATTGCCCCTCCTGTACATACGTGTTGACAAACTATTAACTAAACCAAAGTGATAAGAGCCTGGTTCCTACTTCCAGGGAAACAGAAACTGCTTTCCTATCCAGTTCTATGTCTGTAAAACTTTTACAGAACCAATCCTTCCTAAGAATTTTCCCATCCGGAGAGCTAAACCAAGTAGTCCATAGGATTACATTAACATCTGTTTCACTTATTTAATCAGACAAAGTTGTGTTGCTTAAAATTTAAATCTTCTGCTTAATGTTGACACCTCCTGCCAAATCCAACTCATTTGTGTCATCTTTTAGCAGAATATTTAAATTTTAAGCAACATAACATTGGGCTTATGGGCATACTTGGAATTCTAACAGTGTTATTTTGACTGTCACAAAAGGCCTTCTATAAGGAGGGCTTCACCATTTGAAAATTGGCTTCTGCACTGCCCATAAATGCACAGGAATGAATACCCCAAGGGGTTGGGAAGGAGAGGAAATAGGAATAGGTACATCCAGACATAGGACTAGAGAATTAAAACCAGAAATTCTCAACCATATACCTTTACCCATGTAGTGAGGATGGAAAAGAGGGGAATCACACAGTAGAGCTTGGCATTACCAGCATGTACAGGTAATGTCATTACCTGTAATTCATTGTTTTTGTAAAATTAAAAAAAACTTCATATGTGAGAGGAATGAAGTAGAATTTTTTAGATCTTATGACATGACTTTATCAGTCTTTTAAAAATATAAAATGAAAAAGTAAGTATCTTATCAAGTAATTAAAGGGTATGTCATATCAAAGACAGCAAAACTTTTGGAGTACATTGCCTTAAGTTACAGAATTAATTTTTAAAAGTGAGTTTTGAAATTTTGTCATAGTTACACATATAGCAGGGTGGAGATGTGGAGGTAAAAGGTCACTAATAGACACAGGACAAAGGGGTACAGATACAGAGACCTAAAGAAAGGCAGGTACATATTGCTCCCTCCTGTCTCTTTCCTCCCTCACCCCCTTGTCACTTCTAGAGAAGCTTGCTATGCTCCTGTCTGAGTTCCTCTTGTAACATGTTTCCAGGATGTAAATACCCTATTTTTCTGTGTATAAGATGCCCCATGTATAAGATGCCCCTCACTTTTCTAACCCAAAATTAAGAAATCTAAGTGGGGCTTAGCAAGTGGAGGGGAAAGCAGGGATCAAAGCCATGCAGGATCACTTTGATCCCTGCTTTCCCCTCCACTTATACTCCTCAGCTTACTTCCATGTATAAGATGACCCTCAATTTTTAGTCTAAAGATTTTAGACAAAAGTATAGTCTCATATAAGGAAAAATACAGTATTCCCTCATTCCTTCCCTGCCTGTATGGCTCCTTACCTCATTCTGGAAAAGTGAACAGAGTGGTGGGAAGAGGGATGGTCTTTTCACTTGTTCTCACTACTCAGATTTGATGATTGAGAAATTAAGTTGTGTTGGAAAAGAAAGTACAAGAGTGACAATCTCCTTACTTCTGTTACCTCAACATACAATGAGATTGATTCCCCACTTCTGAAGTGGGGAAAGCAGTGGTCATGGGTAACATTATGGAATGCTAGAGACGGTCTTCACGGGCATGATTATGGGAGATTTCAGACATATACGTAAAAGAAAGTACATATTTGTACAATGTATAGTTGAACCATGGAATTCACTACCCTAAGATACTAACCTGGATAACTTTAAAGGGAATTAGACACATTTATGGAATACATCAATGGGTGCTAGTTATATCAGAATTATACAGTATTATGTGATTTAATGTAGTGCTTTCACATGATTATGGGAGATTTCAGACATATACGTAAAAGAAAGTACATATTTGTACAATGTATAGTTGAACCATGGAATTCACTACCCTAAGATACTAACCTGGATAACTTTAAAGGGAATTAGACACATTTATGGAATACATCAATGGGTGCTAGTTATATCAGAATTATACAGTATTATGTGATTTAATGTAGTGCTTTCATCTCTTAGAATAGAATACTCAATATCAGTTGCTGAGGAACATGAATGGTATGATGCTGTTTAATTCATGTCCTGCTTTTGGGCTTTCCATTGTCCACTGTAGGAAATGCATGCTGGACTGTAGGCCTTAGGTTTAGTTCAACAGGGCTGTTCTTGTGAATGGGAATCTTAATACAGTGGTGCTTCGCTTAACGATGATAATTGGTTCCCAAAAATCGCTGTTAAGCGATCTCATCGCTAAGCAAAACATGGTTTCCCATAGAAATGCATTGAAAACCGGATAATCCGTTCCAATGGGAACGCATTGCCGTCCTTAAGCGAAAATCGCCATAGGAAACATCGCTAAGCGAAACACGGTTCCCCAATTGAAATGCATTGAAACCTATTCAATGCATCTCAATGGGGGAAAAATATAACGACAAATTAAAAAAGAGTCGGAACAAAGTTAAATTAGTTTAACAAAGGGTTTATTAAGTGCACTTATGATTTCAAGCATTCTAAACATTTTTAAAACATTTTTAAGCATTTAAAAAACAACCAACATGAGGCTGTCAAAACCATCGTTAAGCAAAACAGAGGGACTCAAACTGTCATCGCTGTGCGAAGCATGGTCCCAAACATCACTATGCGAAAATTGCCCATAGGAACCATCGTTAAATGGAGCGCAAGATCGCTCCAAAAAAGTCATCGCTAAGTGATTTCATTGTTAAACGAAGCAATCGCTAAGCGAGGCACCACTGTAATCTGAATAGGTAGTTTAAATGTCTTAATGCAGATTAATTAGAAAATTGCAAACTGTTCGGTGCCATGTTCAGATAAAATAAACTTTTATTTGTACCACTGGAAGCAGTGAAAGACCAACTCTTCATTTTTTAATGCAGAGTAAAATGGATATAAAAATCCCTTCTTGGCTATTATAAGTGACAAACAACTGTATACCATCTCATGAAATATAATAAATGGTTGATTGTGAATGCAGTACAAATGTCCTCTTTTTGGTACTTTTTGAACAGGTGGAAGTCCGTTGGACAGTCCCAGAAATTTCTCTCCAAATGCACCTTCTCACTTTTCCTTTGTTCCTGCTCGTAGGTATGTGAATATTTTTGTTCTCCTGTGAAAGCTATTTGATGCAATTAATGTTTTCTGCTGCTTGAAGTAATTTGGTCTGGTATCCTTAATTCTTAACTTAGTAATTTAATTTTTGGTAGTTTAAAATGTAGAATTTGAGGCATTTCAAAAACAAAAAAGCACATGAATTAACAAAACCTGTTTCACGTAAATGTTTGTTTGTCCCTATCTTTATGAAAATGCATTCTTGTGTTGATATATGAACATAAATGGAAAGAGGTAGAAATAACTGCAAAATTCCTTTCTTTTGTATCCTGCTTTGAAAACAGGAGAAGTAGGGAAGAAGCGGGCTGATATATAAATTTGGGTGACCCAAGCTTTATTGCTCATATTTCTGTGGTTTTAACATTTATGTTCAGAGACTTAACATACTCAATCTGCTGATGGGTAGAAAAAGTTCAAGTCAGCTAGAGCCCATGAAAGTGGATCTTTCATGCCGTTAGTCATTCTTCTGGGGATGAGGCTCAATATCCACTCCATGCTCTGGACTAATAGAAATTTAGAGTCATCCTATCCTGTTGAGGGTTGATGCAAGATGGTCAGACAGGCCCGCTGCTAAAATCTAGTTCCTGTCCAAAGCAGAAGTACTATAGGAAGTGAATGGCTTAAAAACATAGTCTGGCTCAACCACCATGTGGGTGGTTGATTTTCTTTAACAAGATAAATGCCATTGCTTTTTCCAGATAGCTAAATACCCTATGCCTGATGGTGTTTTATTATTGTTTGTGTTGTTGTTGGCTGTTGTGGTGGAAAAGAACTAAACTGCAAAATGTTGGATTATGATATGGTGTCATTGTCTGCTTCATCAGAAGAGCATTGCATTACTTGTTCATCTTTTGAATTCCTATTTCCACCTGTCTTGACACCCTGTCTTGTTTTATGATGCTCCATAAATATGGGAATACAGTATTTTCCATTTTTGACTTAAAGAAGTCAGGCTACTTTAATAGTGTTATCTTGACCATTTGCTAGACCTTCTTTTGCACCAAACATAAAAGGAGGTTGATTATGCATTACAGTACTTTTCTAAGTAGATGAGATGCTGCAGGAAGGCATTTTACATTTAATTCAATAAATTTTCTTAAAATATATGTATCCTACACTGTTGTTGCAGTTTTGGTAAAGTATTTCAAATTCCTCCGAGAGAGCTCTGTGGCGATTCCCTGAACTGGTAAAATGGTATCAAATTGCTGCAACTGTGTAGTGTAGACAAACTGTTAGAAAGCTTTTTGGCAACCCCTTATGTGTTGTAGAGTGCTTTCTGAAGGGGTTTATTTGCATCAAGCAAAGTGTTAATTTCTTCACTGCTAATTACCCACTCCAGCTGCTTTTATTCCCATATCATTACAATAGCTAATACTGAAAAGAATAAAAGCTATGGACAGGATCTGAATATCTTTTCCTTTCCTGTTCTTTCTATGATAGCAATTACCTTTTTCAGGCTTTTTTCAAAAATTGTGTCTGTTTCATTTTGTACAATTGCAGTTTTCTCTTTTACACAAGCAGAATACGAAACCACCATACCAAAACTTTTAGTTTTATGTTTATTAATTGCAGAGATATTGAACTTGTGCCCCTCAAGTTATTGTTAGAGTGGAACTTTATCCCCAGTTAGCAATTTTATTCCCACCAACCCTAGGAAGCAAGGCCTAAAAGTTTCCCATTCTCAATTTAGTGTCGATAGTATTCCAGACCCTGTGTAGAACACAGAAGAAATGTAGATGTATCAATCTTAGTAGTCTTTCTAAGATAGTCATGGTATTGACAAAAAATGGAAAAAAAAGAAATCTTTGTAGGTCTTATTGATTTATGGCCATGAATATTGTTAGAATACCTTTAAAGAGCATTGCTCAAAAGAGGGGAACAAGAGAAAGCTAGATTTTATTCTTATTTATTGGTAAGTGACATATTATTCTGTCACCAAAATAAAACAGCACTGAATTGTAAAGAAAAAAAGCAGGGTGGAATCGCATGCCCTCTCCTGTCATCCTATCTGCAGGGAACAGGGGAAAGCTGGAATTTTTTTTTTCATTTATTGGTAAGTGACATATTTATTAGCTCGCCATCCAAGTGATGTAGTACGGATTTGTTGGAAGAAACACCTACTGGTACCGCTTTGGTTCAATACTGGCAGTTACACATACCAAAAACTGAACTAAAATAGAGTGAACCTACCCCCCAAAACACCTGTAGTTCCTGCCAGGTGCAGGTAGCCATGGATATGGGTTAGCTCATTTGTGATTGGCTGTACATTATGTGATAGCCAGAAAATTGAGAGAACCAAGCAATTCCCAAGGTGGCAGATGCTGAGAGGCAGTGATGTCACTTCCCATGTGTTCTTCACTACAAGAGGACAGAGATATGTATGCCATACAACCTGATTTTACTCCCTAACAATCTATGCCAGGTGCGGTGACAAAAACTTTATGAACGCAAGCACTGACACAGGTTGCCTTTCTCTTTCTAATGGGCCGGTTGTGGCATTGAGATGATCAGTAGTTGAATTAACAAACAGATTCTTAGTATTAAGAAAAATCTAGATCTTTAAGAGTGTGACTTAAAAATAATTGAGTATCCTTTCGTAGACTTCCTTGGTATTAAAAGTTTAGTGCTTTAATGGTTCAGTTTAAAGGATCTGGCTTTGAATTGTGCCTGGCTTCTTACTTGTTATAAGTTCTAGAGCTTCAGATCAAGATACTTGAAAATGAGAGGGATTATTAATGCCAAACCAAATTATCTAGGCGTGAGGACACATTAAATTGCAAACATAGCAGACCCATTGCTGTTACATGCATCCACGTTTTTGAAAACAGACATTATATTCAAATTATATTTAACCTAAAGAGCCTTATACGGCTTGAGCCCAAGCTATCTAAAATACTGCATCTCCTTCTATGAGCCTGGATGGGCATTTAGATAATCAGAGGAAGCCTTTCTCTCAGTCCCACCACCCTCAGAAGAGCCCTTGGTGGGGACATGGGAGAGAGCCTTCTCTGTTGCTGCTCCCAAACTCTGGAATGTCCTCCCTTGGGAAGCCAGACTGGCCCCATTTTTGCTCTTCTTCAGCAAGCAGTCAAAGACCTTAAATAATTATTTTATTTACCATTTTTAATATACTTGTTTAATTTGTTTAAAATATCTGTATATGTTCTGTTTTTAGGTTTTAAATGTTTTTCTTTTAATGATGTATGCCACTGGGTCCTTTTAAGGAGAAAGATGGAGTAAAATATTTTAAATAAATAAATTTACTAATCATACTATAAACATACTTGGCATTAGTTTAAAGCACAACTTTTTCAGTAATTGCTTTGACTATTTGGAACTCACTGCCCAAAGAGGTCCATCTTTAAATACAATTTGTTCACAAGCTACAAGAGAGATATTTACTTGAATGAAGTGCTTTGAAGGCTTTTGGGATGATTCCCTGGCCTGCCAATCTTTGTAAGAGACAGACCAGCTCTATTTTGGTAAATACAAATACAAAATTCACCCCTACCAATACAATTTTTGGGGAGAAGATCAATTGCTATATTTGCCTAGCTCATATCCCAGTGCCACTTACCAGGAACAGATATTGTAGCTGATTTCAGTTATTGCTCTGAAATCAACTGAAAATGTTCCCATGTTGTATTAGATGCCACTGTGTATTCTCTCCCTTTGTCCTTATAGAGCAGTGGTTCCCAACCCCGGGTCCCCAGATGTTATTGGTCTACAACTCTCACAAATCCTGGCCAGTATAGCTAGTGGTAAAGGTTTCTGGGAGTTTTAGTTCAATACTATCTGGGGACCCAAGATTGGGAGCCACTATTATAGAGCAGCAGTCCCCAACCTTTTTGGGACGGCGTACTGGCTAAGGCAGGCGGGGCACCCCCTCGGCGGACTGGCTAAGGCAGGCGGGGCACCCCCTCACCCTTGTGCGTACGTGCGGAGTGCACTCACTCTCACGTGGGTACTCTTGGGCGCATGCGTGAAGCAGTGGGGAGTGTGCACACACGTGCCAGCACTGATGGGATCACTCCTCCACCCCTTCGCACAGGCACTTGGACACATGCTTGAAGGGGTGGCGGAGCGCTCATGCAGGCGCTGGCACACACATGCACGCATGCACAAAGCAGCTGGAGGGGGAAGTGCGTGCGTGGGGGAGGTCTGTCTTCGCAGCCCAGTCTAGCTGGCTTGGACCAGGGGTTGACGACCTCTGTTATAGAGCATAGTGTTTGTCAATAAGTTCTTGCACTAGTTTAGTCTTAATGTCTGTGGTGTGAATATTTACCCTTCTTTTCAAATGACATATTCAGTGTAACATTTCCCTAAACCCTCCAGCATATTCTATTTCCATCCTGTTCTCCATTCTCCTTTCAGAATTACAGAGCATTTCTCTCTGCCTGTAGACTTACAGATGCCAGTTTCCCTGACTGTAATCTTCCTCATGCCTGTCTCCTTTTTCATGAGAAGATAAGACTGAGTATAGAGTGAACCATCTTTATTGAAATAGTTTTCCATAGAGGCCATAACATGCTGCCCCTGATATGCTTGAACCATCCAGGATCTTCCTTACAAGAAAAAAAAGAAGGGGAGGAAGTAAATGAGATCAATATTCCCACCTCTTAATCAGACCCCCCCCTTTTACTGATATTGCAGTATGCTGTATGAATGATAGGACTAACCTTGTTCTATGGACTGTTCTGTGTGTATCCAAACCCACAGCTATAAGCATATTTCCCTCCACTTGGCCATATTTTTACTGTGTTTACAGCAGCTTCCAAAGTATGGGTCTGCTCTGTCACAAATGGTGTTACTCTCACACTTAATTGAGTGCTAATAGCATTAATTCTCAAGTGTGCATAAGGCCTACGGCAGGCCTATTGAGCCACTAATACACTTCTCTATTGTTGCCGTCTCAGGAGATAGCTAGTTGGAAGAAGGCCAGGTGCCTTAATAACTAGCTCCATACCGTTCTTTAATTGGCTGGCTATAAATACTTAGTCCCTCCCACCACAGTGCAGGAGCTTTAAAGGGCTCTGAGTAAAAGACAGCTGTAGAAGGGTTTACATGTGCTTATAGTTGAATGAACTGTGCTTCTATATCTTCTATTTTTTAAAAAACCTTCAATAAGCTATTTCATTGTAGATTTTACCATACATAGAGAGTAAAATTTTGACAGCCACCACATAGAACCTGGATGCTGTCTCTCTCTTTTACCCTTCATTGCTCTGATGTCTTACTACAATTTTTTAAATGGTGAATTCTTTTTCATTATAATATGTATCGTGTCATGATCAAGGTTCCCCCCTCCAAACAGTGTTCCTCCTCCTCTGTGCACCCATAGTGAGCATTTCCAGCCCCTTTGGTTCTGGTTGTGACAGAACCCTGCAGGTAGTGGAGTCATACATGTAAGGGATGGAACCTGGCCCGTCAGGGCTGAAAATTAGAGGGAATGTTGGTCATATTATGTTGTTTTGTGAACAGTTATTTCTGATTACAAGAATATGGCGTGTGTTTTTGAAATTTTGTATTTTTTAATTCAATATTTTAGTAGTAATAGTTCATTCTATTTGTCCCTATCCTTATATATTAACCTATGGAGGGATTTGTTAATAGTATGGTTTCAAGGTATCTGCTTGTGTTGTAGTTGTTGTTCCTGGCCATATTCTTTATTGTAGTTTTAATGTGCCTTATAAAGTCAGAACAACAAGAAACTCTCAGACTGAGGTCTTCACAAACCTAAGTAACAAAAACATGCAGTTCCCAAAACTGCATGTTTTAGAGTGATTAGAATTATTGCAGTGTAAAAAAATGATACATAAAATGTGAATTTTTGTACATTCACTTATTTCTTCTGTGTCTACACTAGTTCTGTTTATTTGCTTGTTTTACACATTTACACAGTGTTACTTCAAAAATAAAAGTCTGGCATGGTGATTTAAAAGCAAAACAATAATAATCTATTATGGTTTTACATGTGGATTGTGATTTCCCCCCAATTTTTTATCACTGGTGCTATTTCTCTTATATAGCCATGGACACAGGACAGACAGGTACCGTAATACTTCACTAGATATTCATATGTTTTGTGTGGAATGCAAATGGAATGCTTTTGCATGCTACAGTACTAGTGACTTCATATGCTGTTATAATTTCATTTAGGCATGCTAGTTCCATACTTTGCTACACTGCATCTTTTAAGAAAATTCTGCTGTTCTTCTAAACATTGTCTTATACTGGAACATTATGCAATTATTATTATTATTATTATTTGCATCTAAACAAGAGATCAGCAGCTTTGAATAAGCAACTGGACAGCACACCACAGCAAGGTGGTTACTAAGAATATGGAAAACAGCCCTGTCATAAGTAAATTGAAAAAAGAAATGTGTTGTTATTATGCACTACGAAGTCAGGTCCAACTTATGGCAACTCTATGAGTTAATTATCTCTGGAATGCCCTACTATTAATAGCTTTGCCCAGGTCTTGCAAATTAAAGCCTTTAGTCTGAATCACTGAATCTCACACCTGATATTTACCTTTTTCTGCTATCTTCAACTCTTCCCAGGTTCATTTTCCAGTGAGGCTTGTCTTCTCATGATATGCCCAAAGTACAGCAGCCTAAGTTCAGTCATGTTTGCTTCTAGACAGAATTCAGGCCTGATCTGATCTAACATTCATTTACATGACTTGTCTTTCTAGTCATCATCCATCCTAAAAGCACATCCAGGCACTTGGAGGTACAAACACCGCTATAAAAGTAATGAGCCTAAGGCATTTCGGAAGTAGCCGCGGCGGCCAACCAGCCATCAACCAGAGCCTCAACAGGAGCGCCAGCCAGGTCAGCCGTAACACCTCTCATGGCATCCTGGAATCCAACCGGATCCAGTAGCCTTCAAGGGCGGACCATGACAATAGGTCCCAGCTCCCTGCGAGGGGGGAGAGCCATTTTGAGGGTGTATTTTATTAGGTGGTGATCCGACCATGACCATACAAGTATGTATTCTGATATAAATTCTATTAACCTCAGTGCGAGTTATTCTCTGATAGGATTGACCCCTTACTATTTTTGTTTCACGGCTTGCTAATATAAAAAGTACTACTATAAAAGAATGACCGGGATTTCAAGAGTCACTTTTAGGGCTCTGGTCTCTGTTTGGGTAATGAGGAAGGGTGCAGCTTCTATTTCTTCCACTGATTGTCTTATAGAACAGAAAGTATTTTCAGTAGTGTGTATACAAACTTTGTAAAGCCTCATGTATTTATAAAATCCACCCATGTGTCTTGGTATCCTAGCCCATTTATTTTTCCTGATGTTCTTGAACTGGTGGGCATAAAGAAGTACAGTGGTGCCTCGCATAGCGATTGGTGGGCATAAAGAAGTATATGATCTGATCTGATCTGATAATTCCTCAGCTTCACTTGAACATTTGAAAGGAATCTCTAGGGTTTTGTTGTTGTTGTTGTTGTTGTTGTTGTTGTTGCATTTTAAACATCATTAGCTGTTTTTGTTCCTTGGGGATTTTAATAGGATATAATCTAAATGTAAGTCAGTAATATAATGTAGATACAAACAAATTTATTTGTAAAACAACGGCTACATAAGGCACCATAAGGCTTAATTTTGTCCATAGTGAAATGTCAGTCAATGACTAAATTCTAAGCATGTGTACTGATAAGCTAGAATGGGTTTGCAGGGGGAAATTATGAATTTAATAGCCTTAAATCTTGCTTTTTGGTAGCTGCTCTGTTCAAAGAAAGTATATCATGATCATTCTTTTAGATGCGTATTAACCCCAGAAAGTGACTATCTTCACATTACTTCCAAGAAAATTTTGCAAAGCCAATTGTGTGTGTGTGTGTGGGGGGGGAACAATTTCTCTATTAAGCAGATCTAATTGGAATAGGTGGCTTTATGAAGTGGTCACCACACAGTAGTAACTTTAGTTGTCTTCCAAGTTCAGGGAATCAAGTATGGTATAAATTTTGGAAATGCCACATCTATGACTTTGAATGTCCAGGAAGTTGGCAGTGTTGAAATAATTTTTAAAACACCATACATAGCAATTAAACCTACAATCCGTCATTTAGTGTCCTTGAAATATTTTTTTAAACTCCAGTGAGTGGTTTTCTGACCTCCAGTGTGCTGTACTCCTCTGACATAAGGTGTGACACATAGCCTAAATACCGCAGCAGCATTCAATTATCTTTGTGTCCAAAAGATTGCCTAAATTAGTTTTTAGTTTTAGCATGGATTCTATATCTACAACTTAAATATTTGTGTACCTGTGCATGAAGCATTGAAGGCATTGTTTATTAAATGTTCACATGCTGTTCCATTGCATTTTTTTTAAAAAAAAGATGCGTTAGAAATGAAAAGTGTTTTCCTGGATCTGTTACGTGAAATTGGAAGCTTGTCCCTACCCAGCTATAGATTAGTTGAAAAACCGCTTCACATTTGCGTAAAAGGTGTAACACATACTGGCAAATTGCCATGAATTAAGAAATCTCCATAGACGTTATCTATTGAATGCAGACTCACATTCACAATTTCTTAATTGAGGGGCAATCACCTGTAAAAGTTATGCCATTCACATAAAAGCACAACTGGATTTCAGCCATTATATTCTTTGGAATTACTTAACATATAGAGTGTTCAAATACATCTCTTCATACTTGTTTATGGCACTGAATGTTTTTCCATGTTTCTCAAGTACTATATGTGATATCTGCCCTAACAGACTAGTCCCATAATCACTCTTGTCTGCACTGCCAGGAGCAAAGACAAATATGGCCTAAAAACCAAGTGCCAGAAGATTGCCTCCAACTCAAATGTTGGATTTCATATAGCCAACCTGCTACCATTTTAGGGAGAAATAAATATGACGGCTAAGTCTAAGTAAACACATTTGCCGTTAACAACTGCATAATGGTTACTTTGTGGAAGAAATGTATTGTATTTTTCCATGTACTGTATAGGATGATAGTTTTGTCTAAAAACTTTAGACTAAAAATTGAGGGTCGTCTTATACACAGAAGCTGAGAAGAGAACAAAAACAAGTGGAGGGAAAAGCAGAGATCAGAGTGATCATGCAGTGCTTTGATCCCTGCTTTCCCCTCCTTTTGCTAAGTTCTGGTTTAATTTCTTAATTTTTGGTGAGAAAAGAGGGGTGTCTTATACAGGAAAAAAAGATGGTATTACTATATTAATTAGAGTTAGTTTTGTTTATACGTAATAATGCTTGCATTTCTCTTCAGGACGGATGGACGTCGCTGGTCTCTGGCTTCCCTCCCTTCATCTGGATATGGAACAAACACTCCCAGTTCTACAGTTTCTGTAAGTTAACATTCATCATAGTTAGTAAAACACCATTAATTATATTATTTTAATTCCAATATTAAATACATGTATTAAATTTGTTCTTACCCCTCTACTTTTTTCAGCAATACATTATAATAAGTCAGTTTGACCGTCATTGTTTTTGTAACTCTTTCATGGTTGGACCGATTTTAGAGATGTTTCCAGGACTTCGAGTGGGTATTAATGCAGTTAACATTTATACTGAAGGCATGTTTTTCACCTTTTTTTTCCATTTGGAGTGTATTACTTATTTATTCTTACCTGCATGTACATCCTGTCACTGATGAAAAGCATTACATTTGATTTGATGTCAGGGAATATGAAAGTTTTATCTGAGATTAATATGTAATGTCTGATTTGGGCAGGCTTATCTACACTTGCAAATTAGCAAATGATGGGTATATGTACATCAACTAGAACCAACATTTCTGTTTTAACTTATGCAGTTATTGTATTCCTGTAACAGTTGTACCAATGTTGCAACCCAATTTTATGTTTTACACTTGTACTATACGAAACCTTGATTTTATCTGATTTTTCTAAAGTGGATGGATGGATCTAAAGGAGGACTATTTTGATGTTATTGCGTCTAAAGTATTTGAGACAAGAGATGAGTGCTAACTCTTAGTTTTCATAAAAACTACAATATCTTGGTATAAAATATTTTACCTAGATCTTGTTTTATTCGTTTATTCTGAGTAAAGGTTCTGACTAGTGGCTTATGACTATGGATCAGATGTAGCAACTGAGAGTTTCTTTCTATATTAGATCTCTTTCCCTCACTAGAGGATTAAATAAGGAGTCCAAAGGAGCACTTCAATGCAATTTGAAGCCAAAGAAGAGTCATGGGCTTTGGGTTTGTGGGTTCTAGTGTGTAGAAGTATGTTACCTTACGTTAAGTAGTCTCTTATATACATTTTGTTCTTAGTCGTCTTGCTCATCTCAGGAGAAGCTGCATCAACTGCCCTATCAGCCAACACCTGATGAACTTCACTTCCTGACAAAGCACTTCAGCACAGAGAGTGTCACAGATGAGGAAGGACGACAATCTCCAGCAATGCGTCCTCGATCTCGTAGCCTCAGGTGATATTTACATACTGTTTCTAGCATAAGAAATTAATTTCTTCTTCGTAGGGGCCTCTGTGAATGCACACAAATGGGTTTCTTCTGCACAGGACATTTCGGAAGTTTCTAGAGCTTAGAAAAGACTAACAATTAGGATACCCTCCCAGGGAGCAAGCTCCGCCTCCTCAACCTTCCCCTCAGTTCCTTTTTTTCCGCCATTTGGTCAGGACGTAGGAACAACAGAGCTCCATTAAGGAAAGTAAAAGATAGCCTTTTTTCTATCCGATTAGTGATTTCCTCTAGCAATCATCTTATTTAAATCATTATTGGTTATTTCCCCCAGTGATTAGAGTTTTTCCTTTCTATCCAACCCCTTATAAGAAGTTTTAGTGTTGGTCATTCAACACAATCAAAAGCCTTAAATATGTCTAATGCTTTTATTTTTTCCTTCTCTATCTCATGTATAATGTTCAAAACTCATCTAGTTAAATTATCCATTTGTCTTCCCTTAATAAAACCACACTAGTCTTCCTTAATATAATTTGCTATAAATCTATTTAACCTATTTGCTAATATAGCAGTAAAAATCTTAGCATCTTGGTATATTAGAGATATGGGCCTATAAGATTCCAGATCTGTTTGATCCTTGTTGTGTTTTGGAATAAGAATCGTTAATGTTTCCAAAAAGCAGGCATTATCTCTTCTTCCATTATTTTACTATAAAACATTTTTAACTTAAGTATCAAAATGGAACTAAAATGCTTATAATATTCTGGACTCAATCCATCAGGACCTGGTGTTTTGCCATTTTTCAACTTATTAATAACTTTGACAATTTCTTGTTCTTTAATCTCTTCTAATATTCTTTTATCATCTTCCAATAATTTGATTTTTCAGTTCTCATTTATGTAATTTTCTATATTGTGTTTCATTACATTATTTCCTTTATATCGTTTCTGAAAAAATCTTCAATTTATCTTTCATTATATTACAGCTCTTACCTGTTATATCTTTAATTATCCCTATTGAGGTTTTTACTCTTTTATTTTTACACATTCTAGCTAATAATTTTGAATTTTTATTATTAAACTCAAAACATGCCTCTTTAAATACATCAAGTCTCTCTGGACTTTCTCTATTTCTATGTTATCTGGTTCCTTTCGCTTAGCCTGACTTTCTACCAAAATTCTTCTATCTCTTTTTTTTTTTAAAAAATCTTTTTTTCTGAATTTTTAAGATCATTTTCCAATTTTTTCACATTGCTTTCCCTAATTTTTTTAAATTTACAGGATTCTCTTATTGTTATTCCTCTTGAGACTGCTTTCATTGTGTCCCACAACAGGCCTAACTTAGCATCTCCTGCTTCATTTTTTGTCCATAATGCTAACCTTTCCTTCTTTATCTTTTCTATTACCTCTGGATACTGTAAAATATTATTATCCATTCTCCACCTTTTAGAGTCTTTATAATCTTTTTTATTTCAATCTCTATTGACATCAAAGCATGATCTGTTATTTTAATAGAATTAATATCAGTATTAACTATATTAGAAATTAAGTCTTGAGATGTGAATATACTGTATAATCTATTCTAGAGTAACTATTATGTACATCTGAAAAATAAGTATATCTTCTTTCATCACCTTTCAGTTCTCCAAATATCCTTCAATTGGTTATTTCTTACCTTCTTGCTCAGTATTGTATTTCTTTGATAAATATCATACTGACCATAAAAAGTTTTCTCTTTTGTCTTATCCATAATCATATTAAAATATCCTGCCATAATAACATAATCTTTCTTTACCTTTTCCATTTCTTTCAAAACCTTATCATAAAATTCTCCCTGTTTATTATTAGCTCTATAAACATTAACCAAAATATATTCTTCAGCCCCATTTTACCTTGTATTACATATCTATCATTACAATCTTTTACTACCTTTTCCACTTTACATTCAGTTTTTAAAAATTATAATTGCTACACTTTTAGATTTAGAAGTTCCAAAAAAATTTTTCATGTCTATATTGTTCATCTTTAATTCATTGACTCCATTTTCTGATTGATGTGTCTCTTGCAGAAAGACAATGTACAACTTGTTTTTCTTCAATAGTGCTTCTATTCTTCTTCTTTTCACTGTTGATTCTAGGCCTTCCACCTTTAAAGTTGGAAGCCTTATTCCTTTACACATGTAATTTCAAAATTTATCCTTCCAATAGGTACCCGTGTGCAACCTCTCCTCCTATCAAACTAACAAAAATAAACTAAAACTTAAAATTTAGTCCGGCGGAATGACAACCAGAACCTCATCTCTGATCTTTTTATTTGGCTTTTGCATTTTTACTTAATGTCTGATAATATTAAAAAAACCTTCTCCGCCCCTCTTTCCTTTTAATTATAAATCATTTTTTTTAAAAAGAGAGAGAGAAAAGTAAGATTTAAGACTCAGTTTTTAGTAATTTTAGTTTTGTTATTGCTTTTACAGTCTAACTTTCTGAGAGGTGAAATAACATTTCTCTTTTTTGTCATTTCTAGTTGATATACCACACTAGTGTTTAACAGATTCCAATTATTAGTTTCAACTGGTTATAACATTTTGAACTTTTTCTCCTCCAGTCCTGGCCGTTCTCCAGTGTCCTTTGATAGTGAAATAGTAATGATGAACCATGTGTATAAAGAACGATTTCCAAAGGTAAGAAGTAGTACAGTTAATTAATCTGTTTAATGAGGCACTCTTAAGTGGCAGTTTAGAGTAGTGGAGAGAGCATCAGATTGAGACTCAGGAGACCTGAGTTCATATATCCACTCAGCCATAGAAAGTTGTAGAGGTGGCGGCAGCTATGGTAAACCCCTTCTTAAACATTTCAAATACCTTGGAGGACCAGTTAGAGTCACCATCATTTGAAAGTGACCTAAAGACACATAGGAACACATGAATAACGTAAAGAGAGAGAGAGAGAGAATGAGAATCCTTGCGACCTTGGAAGGACAGAACACTGAGTCAACCTTGAGCTGGCTACCTGGGATTGAACCAGATCACAGGCAGTTTGGGATGCAGTATTGCAGTTTAACCACTTCACCATGAGATACTATAGCACAGCATTAGAAAGCTAATTTCTTACTCAAATATCCTGTATTTGATTACACTGAAGTTCTTCCAGATCTTCAGGAGAATGAGTTTGCTCATATAAAATGAAAAATAATAAATGGAACCCCATCATTTTTGGTTATCAGTATCAAATTAAATTATATTAATCATCCTGTTTCTCCAAACGCTGTTTTAGTTTGCTTGAACCAGACTGCACGTTGTGTGAGATATTTGTTAATTAGGAAATATAGCTTTTTTTTTTTGAAGGACAAAAAGCAGCTTCAGAATAGGAGGTAAATATGACCAGTAGACTTACCTTCCCCTTGCCAGTACTACTGCTTTGATCAAATTCATAGCTTTTGTGTCTTTTTAAACATTAAAAATTAAAACAAAGGAACCAATTACAGATCTTACATGTAATATGTACTTTGACTATTTTATGTATTTGGCTTGCATACATCAACCTGTTTTATACACAGAGTGTCCTAGCTGACTTCACATTCTTCTGTTTTCTTAAATCAGAATATCTTCCACCTAAGAACTATAGTATCACTCAACTAGATGGCACTTCATTTAAAAGGTTTCATATGTTTTTATCCAGCAAAGCTCACTGATTCTCTTGTCTTTTGGTAACAAAATGCCATTAACTATTATTTTATGTGTAGGCCACAGCTCAGATGGAGGAACGGTTGGCTGAATTTATTGCATCCAGTACACCAGAGAAAGTGCTGCAGATAGCAGATGGAGTCCTAAGTTTTGTTCATCATCAAGTTATTGAGTTGGCCAGAGACTGCCTGGATAAATCACGTGAAGGGCTAATTACTTCTCGGTACTTCTATGAATTGCAGGAAAATCTTGAGAAACTTCTGCAGGATGTAAGTATTTTAGTAATATGTAATATCCCTTTTGGGGATGAATAGCATATTAACCAGTTGAACTGGATAGTCTATTAACTAGTTGGATTCGTAGGGCAGGAAGAGACTTGCATGTTGTCAGGTTCACCTTCATTGGAATAATGTGCTGACTGAAACCTTTGTTGAATGGATGCTGCCTGTGCAATTACAGCAGGAACAGCAGCAGATTGTTGCTGATTAAAGACTTCCTTTTTCAGTTTTGTGCAAACTGTGTGCGCCCTGAAATTAAAAAAAGAAGAAGTGTGTAATCATTGGCAGTTTGCCATTGGTGACAACTTCATTCCTGTTGCACAGGTAGAGTTGTGCCACAGGGTTTTCAGTCAAGTGAGTCAAGACACTTCTAATTAAGGAATTCAAGATTTTGGATAGATGCAGAACATTCAGCTTGAACCAGTTAAAATGGGAATGTTGCCTTTCAATTATTATTTCAGGTTTCAGGACAGTAAAAATGATATCTGAATGATCTTGAGAATTTAATTACTGTACTGTATTCTCGAAGGCTTTCACAGCCAGGATCTGATGGTTGTTGTGGGTTTTTTGGGCTCTTTGGCCGTGTTCTGAAGGTTGTTCTTCCTGACGTTTTGCCAGTCTCTGTGGCCGGCATCTTCATCTTCAGTGAAGATGCCGGCCGCAGAGACTGGCAAAACGTCAGGAAGAACAACCTTCAGAACATGGCCAAAGAGTCTGAAAAACCCGAAACAATCAATATAATTACTATTCATAATATCTGGGGAATCAAAGCAAAAGAAGATGAAATTGGTTGTGTTCTTTTGCTGTATTATTCCATTTTCTGTCTGCAGATTGTATGTTTTGCCTGATGGGAGTATAGATATTACTTCTGCAAATAATGAAATATTTCTTGGTTAACTAAACCACTGGTTCTTAACTTTTGTTACTCAGATGTTTTTGGACTGCAGCTCCCAGAAGCCTTCACCATCAGCTCTGCTGGCTGAGGTTTTTGGGAGTTGCAGTTCAAAAACACCTGAGTAACAAAGGTTAAGAACCACTGAACTAAACAGCCTTTTCTTAAAGCAAAATAAATATGACTTCTTGCCATTAGTCTTAAATTCCTCAGAAAACAGAAAAATGGAAGTGGGGGAGAGATGTGACAGCCAAATGGATTGCAACTGTCATAATCCATGGACTGTGTTGGTTGGGGATGATGGAAGTTGTAGCAATACTTGGACCATGGTTGCCCATTTTGACTTAAAATGTGCTTGACTGTAATGCAGTATTAAGGATAAGACAAATGATTAGATTCATTGTGTGAAAGAATGGCAGACTTTGCCATACTCAGGGCTTGAAAGTTTTTAGAATGTCTCACCAGTCAGTCAAAAATTTCACTAGTCAGCATGACCAGACTATAGCCTTGCAGTTTATGTTAACAAATTTAAACTAGGCACTTGTTCACTTTTATTTCTACGTAACAGGGCGTACAAACCCAAAATAAATATACCCTCAGAGTTGGATTGCTTTATTACCTGCATGCCTGTAAGGTCATGAAGCTTGTATTTTGAATGCTGTTCTTTTGAATGTCTCCAGCAAAAATAAAAGTGAAAGCAAAAGTGCCCGGCCTCTTATGGAGCCACCGTTCTCTCCCACCCCAGGATGTGTCCTCGTTGGGTTGAAATTGGGAGCAGGGAATCTCCATATTCAGCAGCATGGGACTACTCTACATTCTCCTGCATAGCTATATATCTATGTGTCGCTTGAACTTCTCTTCTCGTGAGAAGAGGGCTGTTTTCCTTTTGCAATGGGAGGGGGGAGGGGAGGACTGCAGGATCATTGAGAGAGAGAGAGCAAGAGCGGTGGAGGGTAAGGAGGCAGGGAGGGAGGGAGGGAGCTGTGGCTCGTCAAGCAATGTTTTTTCACTCATCCTAGACGAGTGCATTTTTCAAGCCCTGGCCATACTAATGCAGTAATTGTCATTCTTTTCCCTCCGCCTTTTAATGGAATTGCACTGAGCAAAGAGAGCTTGGTACTTATTAATAGTTTTTCTAAATTAGCTTCAGATCACCATCTCCATAAAAAGTAGTGTGAAAATTACTGCTTGTTATACGTACTTCTGGGAGGAAGTATACATTGGGGGTAGATACTTATGTACTGAAGGGTATAACACAGGAAATTCTTGTAGGAGGACATTGAGAAAGAAAAATTAGTTTCTTCTTTCCATTCTATTCTTGTTATTCTTCTTTTAAAAAATTGTCAACATGTGTAAATTCACTTCTTCCTAGTCTTCTTTGTGTCAGGGCTGGATGCACCATGGGGTTATAGTAACATAGTCACTATGCCTCACAGTTCCAGAGTTGTTATAAATACATAACATTGCACAAAGAATCAGTTTGTTTGTAAGTCTGTTATTAAGTGTATATTACAGCTTTTATTGTCTGAGCTGGCTGAGGAGGCAAGATATTGGAACATTGTTCTACCCCAAAGTATTTGGGTGTCACTCTGGATCAAACTCTGACCTACAAAAAAAAAATACTGACTTTAAACACTAGACAGAAGAATGACACAAAAATAACATAATTAGAAAACTGGCTGTGTCAGACTGGGGTGCATGCCCACAAACAATAAGAATAACAGCTTTGTCCCTGTGCTACTCCACAGCAGAATTTGCCATCAACATATGGTATAAATCAGCATATGCCACATGTGTGGATGCAGCTGTTAATGAATTATGCAAGACTATTACTGCTTATTGGAAATCTGCCCCACTGAAAAAGTCTATTATTTGCCACTCTGAAACTACTCTGAAAGGTGCTAGCAAATAACAAATGAAATAAGGTAATACAACACCAAACCCATCCACTTCATGGTCACCAACCCCCTAGATAAGTGTTTTCCAACCTTGGGTAAGCCACGTGTTCTGGGACTACAACTCCCAGAAACCCTGGCCAGCACAGCTGGTGGTGAAGGCCTCTGGGAATTGTAGTCCATAACCACCTAGGCAACCTTGGGAGCAACTGCCCTCGATAACAGCTAAAATCAAGGAAAATTTTTATGTACATCTCTCAAGCTCTACATGTTAAACTAGGAGGCTAGGCTAAACCTAGTTAGTTAGTTAGTTAGTTAGTGCCAGCACAGCTGGTGGTGAAGGCCTCTGGGAATTGTAGTCCATAACCACCTAGGCAACCTTGGGAACAACTGCCCTAGATAACAGCTAAAATCAAGGAAAATTTTTATGTACATCTCTCAAGCTCTACATGTTAAACTAGGAGGCTAGGCTAAACCTAGTTAGTTAGTTAGTTAGTTAGTTAGTTAGTTAGTTAGTTAGTTAGTTAGTTAGTTAGTTAGTTAGTTAGTTAGTTAGTTAGTTAGTTAGTTAGTTAGTTAGTTAGGCATCCTTCAGTCTCGAAAGACTATGGTAATGTGCTCTGTATGGAGGACTTGGAAAAGCGTCTAGTGTGGCTGAGGAGGCCAATTCGAGAGTGACAATCTCTTCCACACTGAAGACAAATCCAGTCTGTCCCATGTCCAGCTCCCTGGTTTTGCTGCTTTTGTGACTTCCTCTTTGCCTCGGCCTGCTGGACAAGATTCTCTTCAAATTGGGAGAGGCCGTGATGCAACGCCTGCCTCCAGGCTGAACGCTCAGATGTCAGGGTTTCCCATCTGTTGAGGTCTATTCCTAAGCCCTTCAGATCCCGCTTGCAGATATCCTTGTATCGCAGCTGTGGTCTCCCTCTGGGGCAATTTCCCTGCGCTAATTCTCCATACAGGAGATCCTTTGGAATCCGACCATCAGCCATTCTCACGACGTGCCCAAGCCAACGTAGATGTCGCTGTTTCAGTAATGTATACATGCTGAAAATTCCACCTAGGACTACTTTATTTGGAACTTTGTCCTGCCAGGTGATACCAAAAATGTTTCAGAGATAACGCATGTGGAAGGTGTTCAACTTCCTCTCCTGCTGTGCACAAAGGGTCCAGGACTCACTGTAGTACAGGAGTGTGCTCAGGACACAGGCTCTATAGGTCTGGATCTTGGTATGTGTCGTCAGCTTCTTATTGAGCCATACTCTCTTTGTGAGTCTAGAGAACATGGTAGCTGCTTTGCCAATAGGTTTATCCAGCTCTACATCTAGAGAGAGGGGGTCAGAGATGGTTGAGCCAAGATACACAAAGTCATGAACAACCTCCAATTCATGTGTGGAGATGGTAATAGAGGGAGGTGAGTCCACACCCTGGCCCATGACTTGTGTTTTTTTCAGGCTGATTGTTAGTCCAATGTCTTGGCAGGCCTTGCTGAAACGATTCATGAGTTGTTGGAGGTCTTCAGCAGAGTGGGCAACAATGGCTGCATCATCTGCAAAGAGGAAGTCCCACATGCATTTCAGTTGAACTTTGGTTTTTGCTCTCAGTCTAGAGCAAAAAAGCATCCAAAGGCATGCTTCAGCATGATAGCAAAAAAGATCCCAAAAAGGGTTGGTGCAAGGACACAGCCCTGTTTCACTCCGCTTCGGGTGTCAAAGAGATCTGATCTGGAGCCGTCAAAAACTACAGTGCCTTTCATTCCCTCATGGAAGGATCTGATGATGTTAAGGAGACAAGGTGGACATCCAATCTTGGGAAGTATTTTAAAAGGGCCATCCCTGCTAACCAAGTCAAATGCTTTTGTAAGGTCTATGAAGGCCACTAAGAGTGGCTGTTGTTCCCTGCATTTCTCCTGAAACTGTCAGAGGGAGAATACCATGTCAGTGGTGGATCTATTAGCTCGAAATCCACACTGTGATTCTGGTTAGACTCTGTCTGCAAGCACCTGGAGCCTCTTCAGCACAACACGGGCAAGCAGCTTCCCTACAACGCTAAGAAGAGAGATGCCACGGTAATTATTGCAGTCGTCCCTGTCTCCTTTGTTCTTGTACAAGGTGACGATCTTTGCATCCTTCATGTCCTGTGGTACTCCACCTTCCCTCCAGCAAAGACAAAAGATTTCATACAGTTCGGTGGTGATGATCTCC